AAGAGCGTTGGAGAAAACCTCTGATTGACGGGTGGAGGGCGTGACTGTGGGCGGGGCGCTGTGATACCCGAGAACCTTAACATTCATTGGTCTGGGCCTTGGTTTTAAAATTTAAAGAGGTGGTGCTAGCGGGCTGTGTCTTTAAGTTTCCCTTTTGGGAAGGAGACCTGCGTTTGGGCGATTTTCCGCTGGAGTGGGCGGGGCCGCTGGGAGACGTTTTTACTAAGTCCTTGAAAACGCTACCGGAAGGGAACTGGGGATGGTTTGAATCCAACTGGCTTGAAGCCACCCTAGACTTTCTATGGAATAAAGTCCGGTGTGAAGAATTTAATTTTCTGTAATTTAAGAAAAAGTTATTAAAAATCAAAAGTCCACGCCCTTTGCCCCAGTAACTTCTAGGAGTCTCTGAAGAAGGTAATCAGATACAAACAAAAGATGTACGTACATCATAGAATTTATTTAACTTGAAAAAAAACTGGAAACAGCTCGAATGGGAATGATTAAATAAGGCATGGTACGCCCTCAACAGGAAGGAACGTCGTGTATTTAAATGTTTTTATACGTAATGTTAGATGAAAAAAAAGACTGCAAAACAGCACATGCAGTGAGATCCCCCAATGTCCTATCTATCTATATATATTTAAACTGAATAATACTGTGCACCTAAAGTCATCTGATTGTCTCTGGATGACAAGAGTATGGTGATTTAAAATTTTGATTTTACGCTTCTGAATTTTTCTAAATTTTCTACAACTCTGTATTTCTCTGTTACTTTTACAGTCATAGAAATATCCTCAATGAATGAAAAGAATCCTCTTGTTGCAATAAAAGAATTCTCAATTGTAGAGAAGGTTGTGACTCTAGATGGGAACCATTGCTATTATTAGTCTTAACAGCAGAGAAGAATTTAAGTTCTCTAGCTAGGACTGGCCGCCTTTAAATTTCCTTCCAATTCTGAGATTCTCTGAGCCAATTATTTTAAGAAAGACCACTACTAATCATTTAGAGACTGTACAAATCATGTCCTCCTGCCAAGGCCACCAACACACACAGCGCCCTAAGGAACATGCTGCTAGACTACTGGTAGGACCTGGAAGTCAGTCAACCACCGAGTCCAAGCAGATCCTGCACAACAGCAGGAGGAGACTGCTGGACGTGGAGAATAAAATAAATAGTTGAAAAAATAAACATTTCCTGATCCACCCACTGTCATTTTAGAGCAACAAACATTTGTTAATGAGTCAAGGACTTGCTAAAATAGTCCACACCTGTTGTGTTGTTTATCATTCATTCAACAAATGATCATTTCAGGGAATGAAACAGATAACTCTCCCTCCCCTCCAGGAGCTTACAACCTAGTAGGAAAGCCAAACAATAAACAAATAAGCAAAACATGTCATATGTTTGGTATTGATAAGGGCTTTGGAGAGCTTCCTAGTCTGTCCCTGTCCTGGTCTTTTGACTAGAGAGAGCATACTTTTCTTGGGGCATCTTTTTTGCTGGAATCCATTCATTTATTACGTTGCCATCTCCGGTATCCAGTCAGGATGTATACGGAAAACACACAAAAATAAAACCTCAGGGAACTCACTGCCATGTGGTTCCTGGGGTCTCAAGATCCCCTGCCAGTGTTCCTCTTCTCTCAAATTTTCAGAGTCTTGTCATGTAGAATGTCCAAGAGTTTGTAGCGTTACTTAGCAGAAAGACTAGGAGTAAACACATCCACTTCATTTTGTCTGGAAGCAGAAGTTGGAGTCATTGTTTTCATTATAATTTAAGGCACACTGTGCTGTATTCAAGCTATCTCTAAGAGTTTGCTTCATTTCCTAAACTGTGAGTTCTGAAAGGCCAAGAACTATTTTCACCTCTCTTTGTGTCCTTCGTGCCTAGCGAGTAGCAACGAATTTTTTTTTTAATTGAATCGTATATTATGAAAAAGCATTTCTCAGAATTTTAGAAATTTGTGCTGATACAGGTAAATCACCACCAGAGGGCAGTAGCAGCTACTCGTCACTAAAGGACTCTGAAGCCTGCTGTCCCACTCCACAATGACAACTTTTTCCAGGACGGCTCCACCTTAGTTTGTGTGAGAAAAGCAGAAGTCTCGGAACTTATTATAGCTGGGCCTCCCGGGGAGAAGAAAGACCTTGGGGTGCTGACAAGGCTGTACCTAGTGGAACAGATACGATTCTTTTGCAGGCTGTACCTAGTGGAACAGTCGCGATTCTGGGCACTCTTCACAGTAATTCTGCGAGGCAGGCATTAGTCTCCCTTTTACAGATGAGGAAACTGAGGCTAAGAGGGCTTCTTACAGCTAGTAAGAGGGGGCGCTAAAGTCTAGACTGCTTCTCCCACAGGATGCGAGGACAGCCTCCTCCCGGCGACGGAGCAGACGGAAGGGACCTCCTCGAGCGATGAAGGTTCCTCGCCCCGCATCCAGCAAGCCTCCGAGCCCTAATCTTTCTTTAATGGGGTGATAACCCACTCTGCTTTTAAGAGCTGTGTGATTGAGGGCCAGGACCAGGCTATCTAAGTTGCAGGATTCCGCGCAAAGGGGAAAAAAAAAAATTAATGGCAGCAGAGCATTAACCCAAGCACAGGGCCCTTCTGCACCTGAGGGACTGTGTGACCATACAGCCCCATGTCCACGAAGCCAGCCCTAACAGAGCAATAATAGAAATAATGAAATCATAATAGCTTCCCTCTTTGGGGTACCTACTTTGTACCACACTCTGTCACTTTAAATATTTATTTTAATCTTTCTGAGGTTGTGTTTCTCCCTGTGTGTTTTTATCTCTGCGTTGAGGCAGTTGGACAAGACCAGAAGTTCTTAACCCCGGTTACATATTAGAAGCACCTGGGGACTTTAAAAAATACTCATGGCCCGACTCCCAAAGATTCTGACTAAACTGGGTGGGGGTGGGGCCTGGGCACACAAGTCGATTCTCTGTTTTAGGACTCTGTTTTCTGATTCAGGGTGGTGATGACCGTCAAGATGTCCTTCCCCTCCTTTGAAAAAGAAGCTGACGGCTCTGGACAACTCCAGTTCCAGCTGGGCAGGGAGTCTCAAGGTCTCAGCGCTGGAGATTTTTACTACACAAAGAATATGTGTTCTCGGTGGGTCTGGGGAAGAGGGTGGGTCTTTGGGGACATCGTCTCCTCCACAACAGCCATTTGCCCAAGCATGCCTTTGCCCAGGGTCTCAGCACTTCATTGTTACCTGTGCTCCCTGGGAGAAGCATCCATTTGTGGCAGGATTTCTGGACACAAAGTCACAACTGTGGCTTCTCTGCCCTTTGGGGAACTTCAAGTTTGCCTAGCTTCCTTGGTGCAGGAAGCTGTTATAGAGAAGAAAGAAGGAAGGAAAATAATGTTTATCGCATACTTTCTGAGTGTCTGGCATCACACTAGGAGCATCCATATTTAATATTTCAACATTCCTCCCCCTTTTTTATCCCTAATTTTACGACTCAGAAAGGCTGAGTGACTGGCTGGACACCACACAGCTGACTGAGTGGCCTTCTGTGTACTGAAGGGGCGGGGTTGTGGTTCAGAGATGTAGGAATAAGCCTCGGTGGTGCTTGCCTCGCCCCTGCCCCATCATCGTCTCTCTGCCCCTGCTATCCTGAGGCCTAGGACCCTATTTTATTGTTCCAACCCCACCTCCACGCCCACCCCGGCAGTACTCCCAGGCAAACCACGTCCGTCCACTGAGTGGCCTTCTGTGTACTGAAGGGGCGGGGTTGTGGTTCAGAGATGTAGGAATAAGCCTCGGTGGTGCTTGCCTCGCCCCTGCCCCATCATCGTCTCTCTGCCCCTGCTATCCTGAGGCCTAGGACCCTATTTTATTGTTCCAACCCCACCTCCACGCCCACCCCGGCAGTACTCCCAGGCAAACGACGTCCGAGGGCCAGAACAGCCCCAGAGCCCTGTGGGACTGGCCCTCCCTTTTCTGGCCGGGAGAGCAAGGCTTTGCCTAAAGCCAGTGAGGCATGGCCCAGGCCTGCCTTATCAGGATTGCGCAGAGCCCAGAAACCCCTCGCCCTGGGTCCTGTGGAAATGGCCTGGAACACGGGACCCATTTGCTGATGGGGGAACCGCAAGACGAAAGGAAGGTCCCCTGTGGAGGCAGCACAGGCCTCTGGAGGAAGATGGCGCTAAAGCAGATGGGGGCCCTGAGGCCGCTGGGCAGGGCTGAGAGTCCTGATAAGATCGAACTCCTTCTCCGAAGACAGCTCTGCTGCGAAGAACCTGGTTCTGCTGTATGGAATCATGAGCATCACTTCAGCTATCTGCCCCAGGGGGAGCGGTCATGAAAACAAACATGACAAAATGTTAAAAGTGCAAAATCTGAGGGGTGAGTTTCTTTGGAGGTGGGTGTTCCATATATTATCACCCTGTTTTTCTGTATGTTTGACATTTTTTCATAATAAAAAAAAAATTTTTAAGATCAAGAATATTTTATCAAACATTTAAATATCTGGAGATTTCATGTAAAGAAATCCAGATTTCACGTCAGAGTATCTGGCCACTGGGTCCATATTTCTAAATGCAAACGTGTGGCGCTGAGCAGTGGCTGCTCCTTCTGTCCCTCTGTGGTCCCCAGCATGCCTTTCCTTCTGCTTACTAATTTTCCAGCCTGGCCCTGGAAGGCATTTGAGTTTGTCTAAAACTCATGGAAGAGTCAGTCTCACTGATTGCATCAGACAATGAGAGCTGAACTTCTCCCAAGCCAGCCTGGCAGATTTTCCCTCAGGCCTGTTTGAAACCTAAAATCTATGACAGATACTTCCTTCCGGATGCTCCCAGAGCTCAATGCATAGCATCACCTTGGTCCCAGGATCCCATGATGCTTTGATCACCAAGATTCCCAGAGACCTAGTGCAGTGGCTGGGGGTGGGGGGGGAAGGGGGGGAAGAGAGGAAAAAGAAAAGAAAACCACACCCACAAATTCAGAATATTGAGAAAGAATACATAGAGTTCTCTAGACCAATTAGCTGAATGATATATAGCAGCCCTGTCCAAACAATGCTCGGCCATCAGCCCGGGGGCCCCTCCCAGCACGCAGTGAGTGGTGACTCCACTGCCTTTTCAGCTCACCCAGGCCAACATCCTCCTCAATCACCTGGGTCTGCCCACCTTTCTGCCTTCTTCTGGAGCTTAAACCAGGAACTTAACTCCTCAGGCACAAGTGGGGACAATCCAGCAGCCAGCCATGCTGAAACTCTGGAGGAGTCACCGAGTGACTTAGATGAAGATCATGATAACTTTATAATAGTCAACACTTAGTGCTTATTACGTGCTCAGCACTGTTCCAAGCACTATGAACATATTAACATTTTGTTTTTGTAACAACTGCACGAGGTAAGTACCCCTGTAATCTCCATGTAAATGAGGCACAGAGAAGCTCAGCGACTTGTCCAAAGTCTCATCCGCATGCTCCCTGCTGTCTGTTTACTCATAAGAAAGAGTGGAAAGTGAGTTTGTAGATTTGAACCCTACTTTCTGGGTGGGCTTTTCACTCTGAGAAGGTCTGGAGGATGAGGACATCTCTCTGGGTTTCTGTGAACACATGAGAGGTCTTTTCTCATGATCCTCAAGGGTTTCGGTGGCTCTCTGGGTGTTTGGTACCCTGGACGAGCACCCAGAAGGAGCCAGAGGAGCCCGACATCTTGGAAGGACTGTGTGGCTCTCCTCTGTCCACCTCTGCAGCCACACTTGATCTCTTTATCCTTTTCTGTAAATTAGGCATGATACTACTGCCGGGCTCCTGTGGTTGCTAGGAAGGATAAACGAGACGATGCATGCAGAGTGCTTCTGCAGATCCAGTGCACGTTCCTGTCATCTTCAGATGTACCCTTTCGTTCCCATTTTCCACACACCAATTACAGTCTCTGCGATAGACACAGGGCGGATGGAGAGCCCCCGAGCTGCCTGACCCTCTCCTCATCCCACAAGGAGATTCTAAAACCACGGAAGACCCAGTTAAGGCGGAGGTCACCAGACAGCACTAACCTTGAACACGCACTTGCAGGATGTTAGCCAGCTGTGAGACAATCCAAGACAAGTAAAAGTAGGTTAGAGGGACAGTGAGGGGGCTGCGACAGCCCCTCTGAACCACGGATAAGGAACTATGGGGTCAGAGAGTAGAGAAGACACCATTCCTGTCCCTGGGGAACCAAAGAGAACGGGACAGCAAACTAGACTGAGTTTAAATTGTCCTCCAGCTGTAGCCCTCAGTGTTGAAATTGGGCCTTCAGGACAGCTCACCCCCCAATCTTTACAGAGCCCTATTTTTAAACCTTCTTCATAACTCCCTTTTGCTTCTTTATTAAAAAGTTAGAAGATAAGACCATCATAGAATTATAAAATATTTTCTACATATACAACATATAACCATTTAACCGTTTTAAAGAAAAATAACAGAATGAATACCTGTGTACTCACCACGGCCCTAGAAGCCGCTGCATGTCCCTCCCTGAAGTAGCTGCATTTTTGACTATTGAATGAAGTTCCAACATATGGCACCGTTGTTTCATTTCGACTCCCTCCTTAACGCGAACAAAAGTGTCAAGCACACATTCACGTCGCCAACTG